ATTCCTGCTTCGTATTTCTCAATGTTCTAATGCTAGTTAGTTATTATAGTTATTGGTTATATTGGACATCGTCCTTTGTGCTGCTTGTTTCTGTTTCTGTTTCTTTTTATTTATTTTTATATATATTATTTTTTAATCCTACAATGCCTCCGAAAACATATCTTATTCGTTGACAGCACAATTACAAGCTATGATTAGCAGAACACACACTGTAAGAAAAAGTTGTTGTGGGTATAATTTACAACCGAAACAGTAGACCCCATTAGTATATAATCACATCAAATCATTAACACCATATTTGATTGAATACATAAGTATATTTTAATTTACTTGCTAGTAAATTCATCTTAAAAAAAAACACTATCAATATTAAAAGAGATGGAACACAATTCAATAAAGTAAATTTAGGATAAATTATTAGATAGTCGCAAAGTACATAATTTTAAATTAATTTTATATGATATATAATAAAGTAGTGTTTATTTTCCTTATAAATTAAAATTTTTAAGTAAATGTTGAAATTAGCTGATATTATAATACTTAATGATTTTAATCTACCTATTAATTTATTTTAGTGTATAGATTAAAATAGTTTGTATGAAATTCTAAATTTTTATCTAAAAAAAACATAGCATGGAGGTAGTACAAAAATATTTTTGTACATTGGTACCTATTTTGTCATAGAACAAAACTTAGATACAACATTTGTAGTATTTTGATATTGATCTTAGATCAAAATTTAAATTTTGCATTAATAATACATTTTCACATTTAATAAAACCATTTATTTAGCCTAATAGTGAAGAAAAGCTTTAATTTTAATTTGATAATAACACCTATACAAGTTCATGTAAGTCTTATTCTTTCACATGTCACTCGGTTGACTTTTCTTTTCCCCGTGGAATTCAAAATGAGTGAGGTAGTCCTTTTCCTCATCATAATAAATCGTTGTTATGTTGACAATTTGGTTATGGTAATAAAACACTAATTGGAGCATATTATAAGTCTCACGTGAGTCTCTAATGACAGTTGCTATTGCAGGTAAATACGTATCCAATAAAATTCCCTAGAATGTTGGTTTTAAATTGGGAAATGAGGTGGTAAATCTGAGTCCCAAAAAACGGACTAATAACTCTTGAACCGTGTGGTTCTCATCCAAACTTGCTCAAAGGCATTGCATGAGCTAATGGTGAAAACAACTATTGATGATAATTGAGCGAAACACGGGGAGATGATGTATTCCTTACAACAATGTCAGTTAGAGCAACATGGGTGGGCTAGCTAGGAATCTTGCTCATGGAACTGTTGTTGGGGTGCTACAGTGATGAAAAAGTGTGCATGGCTTCTTAATCTGGTAATAAATCAAAGACGCATTTGAAAAGAATTGCTGCACGTACCTCCTTGTTCAAGATCAGCAAACCTAAAACAAGTTGTGGCGTACGGTCTTAGTACCAATGCCTGGTAACTATCAAAAAGGAGGGAGTGAGGGAGGGACCCCAAAACAGTAACGTGGACTGACTTCATCACCTAGTATCACCCATGTGATTGCCTTCCCACTTCTCCCAGTCCATCATGTTATCAACACATTGTAAATTCAAAATATGACCCTACTGTGTTCCCTTTTTTTTTGTTCTGCCACCAATATTTCTAGGTTAATTGAAATAGAGACTAATCTCGCTTATGATATTATGATTGTCATTGACTTGACAAGTTTTTGTAAATGACAAATATCTACCACAAACTTTCGAATAAATAGATCGTTTTCACAATGTAAAAGTGTACAATGTCGACCACTATGTGTGTGAAAATATGTGTGGATAAGTATTAAAATACACTCTATGTCAACCCATCAAATTTCCTTATGTCTTTCTTTATTAAAGAGTTCTTGTGTCATCAAAGTATGTATGATACCCCCTAGTTGCCTTGATGTGACCATGTTAAGGATTAGATATGAAGATGGGTGTTGTGACATTCTTTAGCGGGGGAGGGCATGGGCTTATCGTGGAGTCTTCATATCCATACATTAACTTGTTTTGTTCAGGGTTTCCATGACAGTGGAACGAAACTTTCAACCAATGTCACATGCATTATTTGGTCCCTAATATCATGTGCATTAGGAACCTTATTTATAAGGTATATATACCTCCTTTAAGCACATATTCTCTCACCATGTCATGTCACGGTAAGAAAAAGACTTTTGGGACAGCTAGCTTAGCTTGCATGACCCTTAAAATTATGGATCTTAAGTTTTTCACACTCAATTTGTTACACTCCTTTCACACCCTATTTATCTCTGCCGTTTCGTTTTACTCGTTGTTCTATATATGTCTCTTTCAAATGTAAGACTCTAACTAAGAGAATAATTTAATTTTTATGTCACGCGAAGGTATTGAATGCTAATATCAACAAAAGATGGTTTAAAAACTTTAAAAGGAGAAAGGATGTTTTTCTTTCTTTCTTTCTTTCTTTATCTTTGGATTTGATTCAGGAGATAAAGTCTGGTATATACGAAAATGCTGACACTGGTTTCACACCTACGGCTGTACCAAAAGAAAAGAAATGTAGCACTTTAGTAGGCATTACAAAAACAAAATGTCACATACTACCTGATATTGCACTGAAGTGGCCTTTATCATTATCATTATAGTTTTGTCTAATCAGAATTAATTAGCACTGATTGGCCTTTATTATTATAGTTCTACAATTAGCTTTATTCTTTGTTATGAGCATGTTACACTTAGGAGATTAGTTGGTAATTGGTCTTTGTTCTATTGTTACTTCCCCACAGTTGCAGACAGATAAAAGAAAATAATTGTGTCGTATTTGAGCATTTAAAGTTCAATATAACTTGATTACTAATTGAAAACTCGCAAAATATGTTACAAAGTTCAATGTAAACATAATGTTTGATTGGATTTTTATTTTTATTTTGAAATGCAAACATAACCGTGATTTAAATATCTATTATATGTGCAAGTAAAAATATTGGATAATACCTACAGAATAAATGATTTAAAAAAATGGTATTAACAATTGTCAATAAATTTATTATAAGGAAAATCATTAAGTGGTCTAAGATTACTAATATTCATGGTTATGATATACATTTAAGTTTTTCAATTTAAGAGAAAAAATTAATAATACTTGATTACAGAATTTCTATGAATCTATAGATAAATAAAAAAATATTTAAATTTTTTGGACTAAAATATAAAAAAAAAATTAAATTAATCAAGTCAATTTTGTTTAATACTTTCAATTAAAAATACCTACAAAACAATAAATGAAAACATTGTTTACAAATAGATGTGATAATTAAGAATATTTTAAAAAATGCTGTGTAAAATTATAAAAATTAAATACATTTAACTAATCTTTTTAATATGTGTGAATTTTTTTTTATTTATATATAAGTCCTAAAGGAGTACTTTATCATATAGAAATTAATTAGGTATGTAATAATTTTTCTTCCGAACATAATTTATCCCATAATAGTTAAAAAATTGTTAATAGTTACTATAGTATTTGCAAGGTTAATATATTCTGATAATTACCAGGAATTTTTAAACCGTATGGTGTAATTTCTGGCAACTCCAAAATCATATGTAATTGTCATAATTTCGAGTATATCTGGAAAGTCGAGTACTAATAATGCATTTAATGATAGTTCAAACAGCAAATTTAAAACCAAAAGATAACCTCTATTATTATTATTTTTTTAATTTTAATTTCAATGGTATCTTACAAGATTAGATTGCCACACAGTCGTACAAATTTTAGATTTTTATTTAGGAAAACGAATAAAAGAATCCGAAGCTTTTAGCTAGGTATCCAAATACTAGATTTAAGGTTCGAGATAACAAATGTTCCTTACAAGATGGCAAAAAAGAATCCGTAATAGCATTGTCATGGGTAAGACATATATACTCGATCATCTTGTAAGATATTCCATAACTCATTGGACATTATTATTATCATGCATGCACATATATTTCATTATCTGTAGGCTCGATCTATAAGTAATAAGACCAACATGTTTTGTGCTGGGACAAACAATTCTCATCTAAATAACGTTTTTGACTATCGACTTGTTTTGTTGTCTATCGTTTGATGATTTTCATCAAGTGGGTAGGTAACATGATCGGACAACTAGTTTGTGTGATCACGTATTTATATATATGGTTGAATTTGAAGTACTTAAACATGCTGACCAACGGAATATTAACCCAACTTGTAGTGTACAAAGTAAACACATAAGCAAGCATATCATTGTCCAAAAAAGAAATTGTTGAGCTACTTGTGCCCAAGGTTTGTACTTTTTTTTTTTTTTTTTTCTTTGGGGCAAATGGAAATTTAGCATTTTCTTTCAACGTATAAGTTTTTATTTTTTATTTTTTAAAGGCTAATCCCTTGCCAGATAATTCTAATTACATGTCCATCAGCTCCCACAGTACTTCATAAAATAAATAAAAACTCACTGTGAAAAACAGACAAATAAAATGAACTAGAAACATTAAAATTGGCCTAATGATGAAGAGTTTGAATAATATAAATAAAGTTTTATGTTCAAATTTTATTGATGTAATCCCTAAAGATAAAAAAAATGACTAACCTTTTACATTGCAATAATATTTAAATGTAATATTAACGTAATATTTAGAAAGAGATCTTTACCGTCTATTAAAAAATTTTATTGTCTCATATAAAAGATACATATAATAAAAAAAATTGTAATAATAATGTTTGAATTAGTTAATATTAAAATGTAATATTAGTGTTAGAATCCTTCATAAAGCTGGTCACTTTCTAATTTGACATTCTCTATGCTTTATTATCAAAAAGTTATTATATCCAAAGGTTCGGAATTGATTTAGGGAATAATGTAATTATTATGTTTTCTTATGTATAAACTTTTCTTTCATGACCATATTAAGACTGTGTTTGAATAACGGTTTTTACGCGTTTTTATGCATTTAAATGGAAAAGTTTCTCTCCCAATTTATTAAATTCAAAGAACATTCAGTGTGTTGGAAGGGAATCCAAACATGCACTAACATTTAGTGCGTTGGAAGGGATTAAGGAAGGGATCTATATAATTTTT